GGAGTTTCAAAGTCCTTACCTCCAAAATTAGGAAAGGTGTATGTCAGGATTGTATATTTGACAAGATGAACTCTCTGTAGAAAAACAAACGTGGTATCAGGACAGGATTGGAGGATGACCTATCAATAACCTCCATTATGCAAGATGTCACAACCTTTCTTGCTGAAAGTGAGGACTTGAAGCACTTGCTTCAGAAGTCAAACACTGAAGCCGCCTTCAATATAGATTGTATCTCAATGTCAAGAAAACAAAAATCGTCACCACTGGACTGACAGGCAACAACATGATAGACACAGAAACTATCTATTGAAACTATCAATGACTTCATCTTACTTAGATTTATAATCAATGCACTTGGTATCAGCAGGTGGGAGAGCAAGAGATGTGTTGCACTGAACAAGTCTGCTGTTAGGGACCTCTCTAAATCATTGAGGAACAATGATGTCAGTATTGAGGAATAATGTGTGCCTTATTCAGGCTATGGTGTTTTCTGTTACTTGCTATGCATCCGAGAGCTGGACAATGACTAAGAATAACAGAACAGCTGATACCTTTGAACTGTGATGTTAGAGAAAAGTACTTACTATCTCAAGATATGTTAAAGCTCCATCTCACCTACTTTGGTCATGTTGATAGGAAAGTCTATTCCTTTGAGAGGGACACTATAATTGAGGAGAGACAGCGAAGTAGAAGAAGACTCTCAATCAAGTGGATTGACACAGTGACTGTAGCAATTGGCTCAAGTGTGTCAGAAATATGAATGGCACAGGATACCACAGGGTTCAGCACTGGCTCGCTTTCTTCCCACTTCAGATTCTTCAAGGGGCCTCCCAGCCTGAGGTGAGGCTGCATCTTGTTTTGCAATCCGTTTCTTCATAAGCTCAGACTGCTGGTTCAGTGGCTTTGGCCTGTTTGGGCTTCAGCTTTCGGAATCTCCACCTTGGCACTGCAGCGGGCTGTATATATGAAGGGAGGGTAAGAAATTGGAATTACCCCTTCTCTTTATCCCAGGTTCTGAAATTTCACAATGTTGTATCTGACAGAAAATTAGTTTTCACCCATCAAGTCTTTCATTACTGGAAAGCATTGCCATTTTAAATATGCCATTCCTTCTATTTCAAACATTTTCTTCTTGGAAATCCTGCTGTCTATCATATGTGACCTTGCTGGTGTGAAATACTGGTGGGATAGCTTCCAGCATTATGCAAGCTGCCTCGGTATGACAAACTAACAGATGCATGCTGGGTTCAAATAGCGTGATCAGGGAAGATCTTACTGTGAAAATAACATTTTTGAGTAAAGACCAGAAGATGAGGTGACAAATGCTGTGGATACATTGCAAAGAAGGATGTAGGCAGAAAGGATAGCATGTAACATAAGCATCAAAGGAGGGCAGGTCAAGTTGGGAGCAGATCTGGTATGATCAGAGGAGGACCAGAAGGTCAGTGTTGAAAGGAAAAGGAAGCAGGGAAGATGAAGCCTGGAGCACAGGGGGTGGTTCTTCTTATTCATTTACTATCATTTTAGTGGGGCTTGGAGAAAAGGAAAGTAAGTTTATGATATGTACCATTGAAATTCACTCTGTCACTTCTGTCTTTGCCTGTATTAGTTTATGACCTTCTCATCTCTTTACTGTCATTTTAGTGTGGTTTTGAGAGAAAGAAGTAGGTTTTAGGTTATGTATTTGTGTTTAAATCTGCCACTTTACTCTCATTATCACTTTTCTTTTTTTTTTTTTAAATGTTATTATTTTTGTGTGCGTATACCGTCAAATCAGATCTGACTGGTACAGGAGGAGATTGTCCCTCCTTCCCCGGCAGGGCATCTGGTGGATTCGAACCGTGCGCCTCTGGGATTGTAGTTGCAGCTCCTTGCCACTAGGCCACCAGACCTCCCCAATCATTATCACTTTTCAATGTACATATCACTCCACGTATTCTGCCAGCCTTTGATGGGTAACTCTTTAGAAGTGTGCTAAGTTTGCCTTGAGAATTGGGCAGGGCACAGTATAACCAAGGATTAGAAGGAAGCTTCCTTCAAAAGACTGTATTCCTTGGATGACTTTTGACACTGTATTGACTGCCAGCGTTGACTGAGTTGATTGGCTTGCTGGAGTGGACGTCCTCTTCTGCTCTTACCCTTTCATGTGTGTTCCTCCTGAAGCTGAGTGCTGGGTTGAAGAGGAAACCTCCCTTGGTAGAGGGAGAACACTATCCTTTGGTCAAAGATAAAGGAGTAACTCTGCTCCCCTGGTAGAGCCTCCAAACAAGCTTTCAAAAAAGTAACCTTCTTTTTGACTCTCTCTGGGGCAAAGGGCCACTTTTCCACTGTGTAATTCTGTGGGCTATCCTTTTCAAAATGAGTTGCTGGGTGGTGCAAATGGTTAAAACACTAGGCTGGACTAGTAACTAAAGAATGGTGGTTTGCTGGATGGGATCCCCAGAAAGGTCCTAGGATGTAAAAATAATTCTACAGTCAGTTACCCACACAGTCTGGGCAGAAGGGCAGATTACCAAAGTTCCTTATTTGGTAAAACAGAAATTGAGGTCCAGATCACGCTACTTGATTTGAGTCGACTTTAGTCCCTTGAGATAGAACACTTCTTTGAAAGGCCAAGCTCCTTCCATCCTTAAGGGCTTTAGATAAAAACAGTAGGAGGCATCTCACTCCCTGACTTAAAATCCTACTACACTGCCGTGGTAGTCA